CTTCGTCACGCCCAGGCCCCATCGAGATTGCCTTTGCTAACGCCACAGCTATGACCCTGCCCCTGCTGGATTCCGCAATTGTTGATCTCGGAATCTAAAGCAAACAATGGGTATAAGTAGATATCCGGGGACGGGAAGAGAGGGCAATCTAAGCTTAGCTTACCCCTGTGCCTGTGATTGGACATTATGGAAAAGGGCGTTATGCAGTTTTCCGCGTCGGTGGCGTCAATGCCTTCAAGCCAATTCAGAACACGACTGAATAGCTCCTCCTTCCCCTCTACCGTGATATCCACGTCGACATCTTCAAATATGGTGATATCACTGAGTGTTGGGGCCCCGGAAACGATGCTTTTCTTGCCGGTAATTTCCAATACGGTGGCGCCATGCGTTGGGGTCACCCAGAACCCAGAAAGACCGATGTCTTTGGAAGTCATAATAAGGCGACGGATGTTAAAGGACGACAGGCGGGTTCGGCGAAGGGCAATAAAGTCAGAGCCTGCTTAGGGCTTTTGCGAAGGTCGTACGCCTAGCAGTGCTGGTACGAAGATCCAGGTTAAATCTTATTCATTCAACGGCGGGGGGCCTGTAAGTGGCATTTCACGCCGCTGCAGCTGCGAGGCAGTCTAGTTCGATTTAGAAAGCAAGGCTGTTCGCGCAAGGGCGGGACCGCACTAGCCACGGACATGCAAAATCACTCCGGTGCGGCATATTCTAGTGCCCAGGGGTATTGAAAGGCCGGCAGGGTGGTGAACCAAAAGCCGAAACAGTAAACCCATTTTTCGGGGTCAAAAAGGACAGGGGGTGAACAGTGGCAGGAAGTGGCTGCCCAGCTCTCATCAACAACCCGCGCACACCCCCCGTCCGACAGTGTGCCAGCCGAACCTTCTGCGAGGCGTTGGGGTTTTGCGGTGGCTGGCAGGGGTGTGGATTGTTGGATCACTGCGCTACGCGTTCTCCGCACGTGCACTGGAGACCCACTGGCCCCTACGGGGCCTGCGCCTGACCAAGCTCTCTGGCGCAGTCAAAAG